TTGCTTTTCCATAAATGCCTCTATGTGAGGCTGCTTTCACAGGGTAACTGGAGAATCTTCCCATAACAGAACTCTTGAACTCCTAAGGCAAGACTAAAGCAAGGTGTCTTGGCCTTGTGAGTGCCTTGGCTGCTTGGTTATGCTTCTGTCTTGCTCTGTGCTCCAGTGAATATTTGTAAGTACCTTAACTTTATGGTAATCTTATCAAAGATTAAGAACAACACCCAAGGAGGCCATTCAACCTGACATCTAAGTTGGTAGTGAGGATGTAAAGTCTCGTTCAAACAGAGCAGAGACCTAAATTAATCTTCCACATCCCAGGCAAACATTTCAACTGCTGATCTGTTGGAGGAAAAAAAGGCGTGATAGTTCTGCTGCCCAAATCCTGGGTGAATCAAGCCAACTGTCAGGTTTCCACCATGAACTGTTCTTCTTGTTATATGGAAAACAGGTGGATTTTGTTAGCTTCATGTTGTAATATAGCTGACCATGGCCTTCAGTCCTGCTGTTTTATGAACTCCCTTCCCCTGCTGCCCCCAATGGAGAGGCTTGGAGTTTTATCATCCTAGCTGTATGCACGTAGCAATGACTTTTTTAATGTATTTCTCAAACATGACATAGGTTTCTTTCCAGGTTTTTTTAAACCTCACAGTGTTATCTTGCTGTGGCAAGTTGCCAATATATGTTACTGTTGACTGTAGTTTGACGTTATAGCTCCACCTGCCTCCAGCCCTTGAGTATGTAATCATAGTAATGCCTCTTGACTTACCAGATAAGATATTTCAAAGAGGCTGTTGCCTAGCTCTTGAAGAGCAGTTATATGTTTAGGTGTGTTGCCTGTCTGCACAACTCACCAGCCACATTTCAGCAGTGTCCTCCCTTGCAATGTGCTGTGCAGTACCTGTCTTCAGCATAACGTGATACCTAACCTACAGTGTCATTTGTAAACCACTGTACAAACCAGCAAAGCAGAATATCGTACTTCTCACAAATTCGGTTAAAATCCTCTAAGACGCTAAAAGAAATAAACCATGACAATGAGAGCTATTTAAATTAAAAAAAAAAAGAGCAACAAAAAACATAGCAAGTGAAGGGGGAAGATGACTGTTCACCCTCAGATTATTATGGCAAAACCTACATCCAAAGCAGTATGTTCAAAAGTATTCCTAACCTGACTTTGTGTGGGTTTACGTGCCAGGATTATTATCACCCAAAACACTGACTGAAATTAATTACATATTTATTATGCAGACTGTTGTAGATTAATTAATACAAGCCTCTGGAAAAATCAAAATATACAGATGCATATTTGGGAACTATAGTTCAATAACATGTTCTTTGACAGAATTAGTCTTGGTGACAGACGTGTTGGGTATCTATTGAGTATTCTTGGCTTCTTTTGTGTTTATAAACAATCGTTGAAATGCAGCCACTCAAAAAAGAAAATGAAATCCAATCTTAGATTCATTCAAACAGCACTTCTCTTCTCCACAGATCCTTATTACTACGTTACACGTAACTGTAATAGCTGAGCACTGTCATTTGTGGCTTAAGTGATGTGAATAAACTCTGTCATTTGTGGTTCACACTCTTCCGTCTTTCCCCAAAAGGGAAGTCTTGTGTGCAGAGTGTTTTGTTATTGCTTGTATTATTTGCACACACACATATATACCTATAAATACATTACATTCCCTCCTCGGAGGAAGTAAAGTTGGGGGAAGTAAGCACACATTCTCCCTCTTTTCTCTGTCCTGTCCCCCTCATCTGTGTTTTATTGAGGAGAACAGTGTTGCATGGGGAGGAAGAGAGAATGTTTGCAATGGCTGCATGGTTTGACTTGCCTCTTCAAAGAAGTCAGCTCCTGCACAGGCAGCTGTCCTTTTAGAAGCAAATTTCACTGTGTGAGAGGATCAGTGTTGTTGACTGCTCTCCTTTCCTTAGACCATTGTTACAATCTTCTTGCACCAAGCCATCTGAATATCCTGAAGGTAAAGTCTGAGACTTTCAAACTCGGGATGCTTCGAACTTCATCTTGTATCTCCTGAATTGTGGCGCTACGGACTTTCTCAGTGTATTGAGACTGGAGCTCACGTTAATCATCTTGCTCACAGTAATCACGCAGCTGAAGTCATGTACAAGTGAGGTTTTCTCAGTATTGCTGGGAGTAAACCAGAGCCTGCCTTTCCCATTGGCTATATAATTTTCCTCAAACCAGGCAGATTGAGTTGCACACCATAGTTGTGCAGCATTTTGCCTTCATATGAAATCCATGTTTTATTTCCAAG